CCCCCCCCCCCCCCCCCCCCCCCCCCCCCCCCTCCTCCTCCTCCTCCTCCTCCTCCTCCCTCCCACACTTCCCTCAAGTGAGGAGGAAATTAGGTAAGCATCCTGGCATTTCAGCTAAGCTGAGAGAGCTAAAAGTCAGGGGAGAGGGTGTGAAATAGAAAGGGATGGACTGGTAAACTGGGAGTGTGTGATAAATGTCCCCTGGTGAGACAGAGAAGAGTAATACAACAAAAAGAAAACACCACATTTGCCAACTGGTAGAGAGTTTGCCGTACCACTCATACTGCTGCAACCACCCCCTCAATACTGTATTTGCACCGGCTTCTTGAATAGGATGCAGTTACGGTTGCTTGCTGGCCTGATACACACATTGAACATCCTTTGAGGTCGTGTAAATGAATAACACTTAAGTTTGTGCTGGAGCTTGACGCCTGCATCAATAAATTCACTGATGTTCCCTTTAAGCCCACTTGGCTGTATTTCTCCTCCTTCATTATGACCTCACCTGATGAACCAGCTCCATAATTCAGGTAATCAATTCCTATATTTAAATATCAGTAATATTGCATTCGTTCTGGATAGGCTTTTATTCTAGCCAAACATTATTAATGTATTTTTAATCTTCACTGTTCAGATAAGTTTTAGTTTGAGATGACTGAAACACAATAAAACTACAGTTCATGGCCACGCAGGCGTGACGCATGCCATCAAAAAGTCATGGATTAGACAAGGAAATGTAATTGATTTGTAATTAACATCAACAAATCTATTTTGGTTTTTGTTTAATTTGGAATCCTGAAATTGACTCATGCACTATCCCTCAAACATTAGTGGGAAATCTGAACACAGTTTGTCTTTCTTTTCACAGCATAAGAGAGCACATTGACTGTTCGGCTTGTTTTCTGTAACCAGTGTAGCGTTAAAGCGTGGAGCTAGCCGAGAGCCGGCTAGTTAGCTGGCTTGCTAATTCCACCATGCTTAAATGTTACACTGGTTTCAAAAAATGAGCCCAACTGCGGGCCGGTGGCTGGGTCTAACCAGGCGGCAACCTCCAGTTCTGCCGAATAAAGCAGTCTATTTCAATACAGCATGATGTTCATTTAGTAAATGATGGTCCATTTAGAGTCACATAGACCATAAAGCAGAGTATGCTTTAGGGCGGGCTTAGTGTCGCTACCAGAGAGTCGTATCCGGCTTCACTACGTCACTCATCCGCATTCCAAATATGGTAACTTCCGTTCATCAGATGCAAAAAAAGCCTGAGAAGCCGAAGCTTCGTAACAGCAGTCCACAAACCACCTGACGATGACTACGTCCACTTCTTATATACAGTCTATGGGTTCCTCAGCCTCACTCCCCGCTGCTCAGGAGAAGGACAAGCTAAGTAGCCAGTCAGTTATTTTCTTGTACTCCTCAAATGACCACAGAAAACAAATCAATGTCCGTTTCACTCCTTTTCTTTTTCCACGGTCTGACAGGGTCAAACTGCCATCCTACTTCAAAGCATCAACAATGCATATATGTGGTAGAGCACAATGAGATAGGTGCCTGATCATTCAAGATGCATAAATGCAAGTCATAATCATTGACAGCACCCTGATGTGAGCGGGCCACCACCACCTAGCCCTGCAGCTGTGTTTACCGTGGCCCTGACAAAACACACAGAGCACACAGGCCAGGTTGTCACGCTGGGCTAATGACCTTTCTGTGGAACAACACACAGGTCTGGACAACCTGCTGCTAAGCCATGGGAGGCCTCTGACACCCAAACACTGATTAGCCTGGAGGGCTGCCTCCAACACATATAACAAACACAACAAATGTCTATTAGTAATCTGTAGTGCTGAACGATAGTCACGTCAGTTTTATTTATATAGCCCAGTATCACAACTTTAACTTGTGTGTGTAAAACACAATGGTAGAGCAAATGAAGTTGCTTGATTGTGGGGCGAATAGTTTGACTAATCCAACTGGTAAAACAAACTACGAAGAGTTTCGTTCAGCTGCTGGAAGTTCTTTTGGGTCACATTTTCATTATCAAGCTGATGTTGAACTGCATAGGATCCGAATTACTCAAAATATAAGGTGAATGAAAATGGCAACCATATTTTCAGTTTTGGCAACCAAAAGCTGCAGTTGGCAGCCTGACCAGCACTTCTACAAGTTTGTGTCGAGCCCTGTTTGGGGCAATTTATGCTGCACATACAACACTAAGAAGTTGCAAGACGGTGGGCAACAAACTATAAAAAAAAAAACACAAAAAAAACATTATATTCATTACACATCAATTGTTCTTATTAATTTTGTTTTTCAATATAGAAATATCATTATGACAACATTGTCAGCTATATAGACCCTTAAAATGTGTAGACCGTATTTCTATGGAATAGACAAGTGTATGAAAGGCACCAGATCATTCAAAAATAGCTCAACTTTACATCGTTGACCGAATGACAATGAGGGACATGCCTTATGTCGTTCTTTGATGTTATTCAGGATAACAGGATCTGGACTTCCCACAATGAAGAGGACCCAGAGGATGACAGCTTGTGGCTGCATAATTCAGCAAACAGTGACGGGGCAAATGCAAAGTGAACCAAAACATACGGACCAAGTGTTCAGTCTGTTTGAAGTAGAGGATGATAAGTCAAGTGGAACAACTACACTGGGTGGCAGCTGGAGATTTCCACTACAGTGTACACTTCCACTACCTTTACTTCCAGATTTAGGGAAGGGCTGATTAAAGACACAAGAAGTGCAGCTTTATTCGCTGGTCCCAAGCATACAAATATCAAAGTCACACACACCTGTTCAATTGCCTGTTAACACAAATAGCTAATCAGCCAATCACATGGCAGCAACTCAATGCCTTTAGGCATCTAGACGTGGTGAAGACGACTTGCTGAAGTTCAAAGCGAGCATCAGAATGGGGAAGAAAGGGGATTTAAGTGACTTTGAAAGTGGCATGGTTGTTGGTGCCAGACGGGCTGGTCCGAGTATTTCAAAAAACTGCTGATCTGGGATTTTCACGCACAACCATCTCTAGGATTTACAGAGAATGGTCCGAAAGAGAAGATATCCAGTGAGTGGCAGTTGTGTGGACGAAAATGCCTTGTTGATGTCAGAGGTCAGAGGAGAATGGGCAGAGTGGATAGATGATAGAATGGCAACAGTAACTCAAATAACCACTCGTTACAACCAAGGTATGCAGAATACCATCTCTAAACACACAACACGTGGAACCTTGAAGCAGATGGACTACAGCAGCAGAAGACCACACCGGGTGCCACTCCTGTCAGCTAAGAACAGGAAACTGAGGCTACAATTTGCACAGGCTCACCAAACTTGGACAATAGAAGATCTGAAAAACGTTGCTTGGTCTGATGAGTCTCGATTTCAGATGGTAGGGTCAGAATTTGGCATAAACATGAAAGCATGGATCCATCCTGCCTTGTATCAACGGTTCAGGCCGCTGGTGGTGGTGGTGATGATGTAATGGTGTGGGGGATATTTTCTTGGCACACTTAGTATCAATTGAGCATCGTTTAAACGCCACAGCCTACCTGAGTATTGTTGCTGACCATGTCCTGCTTAAAATATCCGTTACTGATTCATAATTTTACTGCAAGTAACATGTCTAGTCTTCATGACTTCAAACCTGATAATCCATATTTGCATTGTGTGTGCTTTTTTGTTTTTAATCTAAGCTGAATGGTGGTCTCCATCTTCGTCTTGGCAGGTAACGTTAAAGGTAGTGACATCTGACAAAGTATAAATCGTGCAAAGCACACTTCCACCAATTTGTCACAAAAGAAAAGAGAGGCACCAAGGACCTAGCTGCACACAATTTAACAGATCCCCGTTTCACGTTTCAGTTGACCGTGAACACAACGGCACCAAACCCCTCGCACTGAATCATAACTTTTTTCTCTCGTCATGGCAGTAATTAGCAAATCAACCCAGCTGCCGTCGGTTAAAAAACAACTCAACGTCTTCAGTTGACTCCAGCCTCATTTAGTCTACATTGGTAATCAGCTGCTGTGATTTAACTTTACAGAAGTAATCACCATGCCAGTTGGCGTTGGTTTTCGTACATGTTCCTTGTCTTGGACTTCTCAACAACGGTAGATTGATAGCTCGGTTAGCTCGATAACGTTAGTTCATTGTGTTTAACTAGCAGCTGGTACACGCGTCCAGACAGACAAATATGGCACATGACGGTAACAAAATACAGCGATGAGCCACTAGAAATGTTCTGAGGGTCTCCCAGCTTACCATTACCAGAAAGCCAGCCTAACGTTAACAGTGCCCAAATACAGCGAGCGTTAGCAGCTGGCTAGCAAGGTTAGCAAGAAACGATGAGAACATACCGTCTGTTGCTGGTGACACTTGTTCCGCAGACAGAACCAGAGACGAAAGGAAACGCTCTGCCTTTCCAAAAATAGTTTCCAGTTAATAAATCAGAGAATTACTTCCCCACTGCTACTAGCACTTCTTCTCCTCTGTCTTCGGTCCCACCTATCCGTTCCGTTCCGTTTCGAACGACAACAGCTCCTACAGAGCTCTCTCTGTTGTTTGCTGTTCTCGTTCTGGCTGAGAAATTCAAATCGCATCGCGAGATTTTGACTAAAGTTTCAAAGGCTTCTCTCCCCCGCGGTGACTTCTGTAACGTTTTTACAAGAGCTCGTGTAATCTGTAAAACATATTTAGTACTTTTATAATTATAATGATTATCATAATAATCATGACATTTTAATGATTATTATATATATTGATTTTGATGGTAATCATACTATTATAATAATACAATTTAGTATAACACACCAGAAATGAAGAGTATCACTACTCTACACTTACACCAACCAGCTGCTAGTTTTTCTTTTAGCTGTCCTATGTCTATTTTCTGTTGGGTGTACTTTGTGTTGCTTATTAAATCAAATCTTTGACATAGTAAAATAAAAATACAGCTGGAATGCATATAGGGCTTGACGTCATCTCCAAGCTTGGGGACTTGGTGTACACTGGAGTGCAATATAAACATTAGAGTCGAGCACTAAGCTCCCTCATGTCCCATAAATGACTTGTATAGCCTTTAAATATAACTTGTTTTTTTTTTAGGTTTCAGACATTCATATCGTACGTACAAGATTTTGTTGGTTGATTGGCAGACAGGGCAGTGCCAGACAGACACATCTAATCCAAGCTACAGAGGATTACCCCATAGCTCTCTGTGTGTTTATGAATATTAAAAGGGACACAAGAGGAAGTGACGAACGAGCTGGTGGAATTCCACAGCTCTGACTATTACTGCCACTCTCATATTCACAGATGGGCAATGTTAGAAACACTCTGTTTACTGGTAGCACGGATTCCTTAAAGCCTAATTAGGGAGGAAATCCGACCAAAACAAGTAGCAGCCCCGAACCAGACTGTGGAAATCATGTGATAGCAGGAATCTGGGGTAAGCTGAGGGTTCTTTTTGTGCACATGCGTCCTATAGTTACCAAGTATGTACACAACTCCAAATCCGACACAACGTGGGACCTTACAATCAGGCCACACAGAAGCTCCATCCACAGGGGTATTACACCTCAAATGAAAAGGCACGGGATACAGAGGGGGAATACGGCACTGTTGGTGTTTACATGAGCCTATCACACTATGGAGATAAAAGATTTTTACTCAAAATCCTCCCTTTGTGAGCCAGAAACAGATAGGAACAAACATGAGTTAAAGCTGGATACTTCTATGAAATCCCTGCAGAAAGTGGTTTTGGGTCGGCCTTGTACCGTAACATGTTTTGAAATATGTTCCTTAAACGAGGGCTGATCTTGAGCCTGGGAGTGTTTGTGCTGCAGTGTCAGGGGAGATGCAGCCCCTGTAAAGTTGGACACTGTGGTAATATATTAAATGGGTTGTCGGTCCAATAATACAGGGAAGTCAACAAAGGAAGCATTGGAGATGTGATAAAAGCACACATTCCAACTCAAAGAGAGTTCCTCAACAGCCCCGTTGGAGAACGTGGCCTACACCAGGGACCGATTCCGACCAGAGCTTTCCCACGTGTCTCCACAGCCTACTTCCAGTTTTCCCACTATCTGAATAAAGCATACAAATGTGGACGGTCTCCTTTATAAATGAGTGAAAAGAAAACAGATGAATCCACATTTACTTCAGTGTTCTCAGGTTACAAGACAAGATACTGCATGACGTTTCATTACAGCCAGTTTACCAAATGAGCCAGACTTATGTTGGTTAGTCTGACTCATATTCAGTTCAGTCAGTTCCATGAAGTAAATTCAACATAGTTCAAGCTCAGTTACTATGCTGGGAAGCTAACATGGTCCGGGGCACGTCAACTGTCAGGCTATAGGCCTGAGTTGTTACTCAACCAGAGCTCCTTCAACATCGACATGATGAGAAAACTGACTTTCTGGAGCACTGCCTTATTTTCTTAAAGTTTATATAAAATCAACTTAAATGAAGGACAAATTCTATAAATTATTCAATGATTAAACAATGATAAGATAACTTAGTTTGTAATTACATGGCATGTGATAGCAAACGTTTGAGTTTAAGGAACATTAGTCTTAATCTAAATTACCCCAATAAAATGATGAGAGTTAACAGTACAGCTGCAAAAATATATTTTCCAGACTAGTATTCAAATTCTCCATTTTGCAGACAGGAAACCATGTATGAAATGTATCGGTTAATACATTTGCTTATGTTATGGCTTTATTTCATCTTTTTTTGGAGCTTTAAGTTTTTTTTTTTCCACTTTCCCCACAATTTCATTGAAGTCACACACAAGTCACATCATTTGTATATTGTATTTCAAAGTTGAAGCTGGCTGTAGGGGAGAAGGCATTACAAATTAAAAGTCTGTACTCAAGTGTCTCCACATGTATTACAGCCTTGAGGTTTAATATCAATGTATTCTCTCTTTCCAAATATTTGAATGTATTGTTCTCAAGATTTCATTTGTTGTATCAAAATATTTCATCATATTCTGTGCATTCCAATACCCATGCAACTTCACGATTTAGTGTGCCACAAAATGCAGAATGCTAAAAATACCAGCATGTCCTACTGCATCCGGTCCCATTTTGCAGGTTGGAAGACAGCATGCTTTTCTGTCCATTCTGACCCACAATCCTCTGCAAGGCAGATACATGAGTAAGAGGATCGAAGTGCAATGTTATGAAGCAGTATGTTGTGCATGCAGCGTGCACCCAATTGAATGCACACTGCATGCAACAGTGAGTACTGTGTTTGGGCAGCTGCAGTACGTACTGAAAGCAGTGTACGATTTAGAACGCTTGGCTATGTCAACCAAAATAGTATCAGTAACTAAGATAGTCCGTCTGATTGCGAAACTAAAGACACATTCATGCTTTGTCAGTTCTTAGACATACAAGCTCTCCTGTGCTCTGGTTAGGAGGAAAGATGTGATGAAATGGCTTCTTCACCACCATTAACATACATGACAGTGTACAAGTTTAAGTGCAGGAAAGTAAACAGATTTGGTGCAGTGGGAAAGACTGCAGAGGCCTGTGAGAAAGATACAATAAACAGAAGACAGCCACCGATGTAAACAGAGGGCCGAGAACACCAGCAGCTGCGAGGAGCAGTGCCATCCCTGACAGTAAGGACTTTGCATGGCTTCCTCACTGCAATATACAGAGCTGAAACTTATTCTACAGAATAAAATGCCGTTCTCCAATTCTTTGGTCTGGATTTTGGAACCAAGTGTCACAAAAATCAATTATCCATCGCTGTAGAAAACGTAGTGCAGTTTGAATATAATCCCAATGATGGAAGTACAAAATAGAAAAATCACTGATCCACTCAGTCTTGGTTGTCGTCAGACGCACCAGAAATGAGGCTTTGACAGCTGAGCTGCAGCCACTTATTTATGCATGCTGTCCTACTTGGTGTGAATATTGATCATCATCTATATAGATCAGAGCTGCACATAATTTAGCCATTTTACCGTGGCGATTATCTGCCCACAGTAGGCCCTGAACGAGACAGAAGCCTACAAGTGTCTCACTGTATACTGTGCAGTTATCCAGAGCACATCTATTCCCACAACGCTGTAAATCACAGGAAGTACAGATGGGAAACTGAAGTCGGGTAGATTGACCACAACTTTAAAGAAGCTGCTTGTGATCGGCTAAACACTGAATGACAGGGACACCTGGTGGAAGACAACAGTACCGTACTGCATGCTTTAAAATGTGCGTTGCATTCCAAATCGCAGCACACTGCAGCTGGCACCCTGAACTTTGACGCACTTTCTCAAATGTCTGCTGTACAAAGGATTGTGGGTCAGAATAGCCAGGAAAGCATGCTGGCTTGCAGACTGCAAAATGGGACCAGATGCAGTACAACATCCTGGACCTTTTTGGCAAACATGTGAAGCACTATGTATTGGGACATACTAAATGTCTTTCAGGCATACCTAACAGTATTGGAACAGTTCTGCATGGACATAAACTTTGGACTGCAAACATCATCCCTCAGAAAAACATCTGCCCAATCACCACAGTTCATTGTAATACATCTGAGAAAGGCGGTCTGTGAAGACATGCATAAATGAGACTGGAGTCAATATCTATGTAATTATTACAGGTATGAAAATTCATAGGGACAACACTTAGAAATGAAATAGAGGCCTGAATTTTGAATGAGAATTTTATTACAGCCAGCAGTTTACAATACAAATCACCTTTCATAATGCTCAGCTACCACCTTCCTGAACATGGCCGATATTCTGAGCACTGACAGTAAAATGACATATAACAGAGGAATGCATTCAAATTTATAATCTCGATTTTTTTCTATTTTTCTATTTTTTTCCCAACAAATTTTGGTTTATGATCAAGGTCTAGTTTTATCATCTCTAGACCTGGCAGATTAATTGTTTTTCTTTTTTTAAGAAATAATTTATCATTTTGCAATGTTTTCAGAGTTTTAGGTTTTTCAATGTTTAATATTTTTTTCGCTTTTTCTTCGGTGAAGCAGGTTTCAATCTGTAAGACAAAAAACAACATCGATGCTTAAACTTATGGAATCGACACGTTAACTGATACAGATATCAAAAATAAAATCCCCACACGCACCTTAGACGCTGGGAACTCCAGCAGGGGTGGTAGACTTCTGAGCCGCCTCCTTGGCCTGGTGGGCCTGGAGCACAGCAACAGCCTCATCCACCTGAAACAAAACAATTCATGAACCACTGCATATGAAGCACTTCTGTTGTACTCATTCAGGAAGCTGCTAGCAACCAGGCTCATGTCAATTTAGAGGAGCAAAGACTGTTTTCAAATGGATAACTAATTCCGGAGATCTAACAGCTTAGCCATTAACTGACCTTTGAGCGCAGCGACTCAGGTGACTCCAGCATGTGGAGAAGTTCAGAGTTGTCGATCTCCAGCAGCATACCGGTGATCTTGCCAGCCAGGCTGGGGTGCATGTTCTGGATCAGGGGGAACAGACGCTCACCTGAAGGAAGAAGAACAGCAATCAACAACCGTTTCAAAACGCATGAAACCAGACTGAATGTGTCAAATAACT